CTCTGCCATGCAGTGCCAGATGGAGCTGGTCTGCAGATCACAGGTGTGCATGTGTGGATGTGGCACTCAGATGGGCAGATGAATACATATAAATCAGCTTTTCCCTTCAGCTTAGCACGCAGCATGTATTTAAACAAACAGCCAGAAAGGTGGGTCACAGAATGGATAGGGGCTTTGGTGAAGCCTTGCAAAAAAAGGGGATGGAGTTGAGGGGCAAAGTCTCGCAAGGCATGAGATGGAACAAAGCTAGACCAGACCCATACTGTCTCTTTCTGCTAAGCACCAGAGGCAAAGGATTAAGCACATCGCTCACTATAGTTCAAGAAAGTCATGCATATTATCAGTTACTTAAAAAGGCTGGCAAAAATTGTGAAGGGACAAAACAAGCAATCAGAGCTGAGGGTCTGATTACTGAAACCCAGAAATATCCTTTTGGAACGCTGACCTTATTTGCTGCAAATCAGCTTCAGCAGCCAATTTGAAGCTAGCACACCAGCATGCTGTTATATGTAAGTTAATAAGCACTTACTATTGATGGTTTCTGCAGTGGTTGTTTAATTTTTAATCATATCCTTAATTTACTGTTTACGTTTTTATCCAATTAGGGTGTGTGCATGTGTGTGCATCTGTGTGACGGAGAGAACATGGAAAACTGTATTTATTCAGAAGTACAATGCTTTGCTTTCTAAATGAGGAGATATGTGTGTCTCCTGCTTGAAATTTTTTCACACAGCCCTCTTATTTTTCAGAATGCTGTCTCAGGCTGCTGTGTTATGTTGCACCATTCTACTGTTAGAAATGGGCACCGCTGACCTCTCTGTGCAATGCTGTACCGGGAGTTTGGAATTGAATGTCATTAAAATATCCAGTGCTAAGAAACAGGTAGTTTTACTGGCACTTTCCTGAACAGAAATCCCAGCATCCCCCCTCTTCATCTGTAGATCAGACATTTAGGTAACACCCTGGGACACCCTTATCCTCCTCATTCCCATTTCAACCTTTCACTAGATTCCTATAGTCATAAAAACTAGATGCACTGAAGGGATGGAAGATGGATCATTTATTTTTAAGCACTGACAATTTTTCATGGCGATCGACAACAAAGTTCTCAATTATAGTGGGAGAGTAAATAAACCAAAGGATAGAGCTTCGAAGAGAGCTGGGTGATGACAGAAGGATAGTGATTAGAACATCTCAGAGTCCACGAAATGAGCTAATCACAAATAAAATAATATTACATTCCTATTACTACCTGACATGCTGATTGGTGTAATGCTAGTAATTAAAAAAAAATCAAAAAAGGAAAGCCAGAAATGCACTCTGCTGAGGCATAATGTGGTTGATATGGATCCTGGCAGAGCTCTCAGGAGGTGATCTGACACCCAGCGCAACTCCCTGTGCCTGCGCCCTCCACATTCAGACTGCCTCCGGTCACAGGCTCAGCTGTATAGCAAATTAGGACAGGCAGTAACAGGACTGCATGCTTCTCAGACACAGTCTGCTCTCACTCCCAGCAGGCAGCAGCTGAAGGGAAAAGGCAGGACCCTTTGTTTCCCCCACGTAGCGTCTACTTTGAGGAGAGATGATGGCAGGTACCTGAAGAGTTCCACAGCAAAGATTTAAATGGAGGTGTCTGACCAGGACTCACAGCCTCCTCCTGTCGTGTTCATGGCTTGGTACCTGGATACTCACATCCCACTGAAGATGTACTCCCTGCATCATTGAGAACTATGCTGAAAAACCCAGGCTGGCATCTACTTTATTTTGCTCTCAGGAAGAAAAAAAAAGATGCAATTCTATCCTTCTGCAAATATAGCACCTCCAATTTCACCTCCTTTTCTCTATAGCACAGCAAAGGTAAAGATAGGAAATTGACATGTTCATATCAAAAATAAACACCTAAAAGTTTCCATAAAAGGAAAAAACTAAAGGGCTATGGTTATAGATGTCTTTAACAGTGGCAGAACAGGTTGGATTAATGTGCTGAGGTAAAAGACTAACAAATAGGAACAAACTGCTTTTAGGGTAAATGCTACAGGTTAAAACACCCTTTTTCAGAAGCCCATTGCATTCTGTAGCAAAAGCACGGGGCAGTTACACACCTTCACACAGGAACCGTTTCTAAAAGAACCCACCCCAGGGAATTTTGCTGCTGCGTGTGCGCAGCCCTGCACTCCAGGAACTGGACTTCTGTGTCTGAAACAAAAGCTGTCTGCATCGGCCAGGCAGCTCAAAAAGGCAGCTTCAGTTCTTATTTTCTTCTTTGCCCTCGGGAACAGGAACTTGCAGCAAGGAAGGAGGAGACTGTAATAAAAGGGAGACAGGAAGGTCTCCAGTAGGCTTTGAGTCCTAAAGATAGCAATGAAACTAGCACGAAGGGAAGGAGGAAACCACCCTCCCACATAAGAGGAAACCCCAAAATAAAACCTTTTGGCAGATGGTAAAAGGCTTTAGCATTCAATAAAATGAACGAGCTGCATGAGAATGCAAGAGAGCTCTAAGGGAGACAAAGAAAGCCCAAACAAAAGACATATGAAGAAGCTTGGTTTTTCAGCCACTCTTCTGTGTGATTTCAAGTCATTTTTGGATAGGTTTTATCAGCTTTTCTATTTAATTGAAACTATGCAGTTCATGGTTTTCAAGAGACTTACACCTTCATTGTTTGTACTAATTAATTATATGAAAGAGAAAGAGTTTTCAGTAAGTTTTCTGAATTATAAAGCAAAAGTTCAGTTCCCAATGAGCATTTCATTTGGGGATCTCAGCCTGGTCGTGGCCGTCCTGTGTAAGACTGAACCCAGTTCCACAGAGGCAACAAAAGCCACAGTCACAACATAATAATGATGATAATGGTTTAATATTTACATCAGGCTTAACCACATCCAGATGAAAGAAAGAACTCAGAGGACTAGGATCTCTCTAACTGCAGTTATTAAAGCACTCGTGTCTGAGAAAAATTGCTAAAGCACAGGTAAATGATAACCTTATCCCAAGACAATATATAAATTGAGTGATTGTCTGCTTCAGACTGAAGGACAATTTAAATTACAAGTAGGAACACAACACCAAAACCCCTTAACCCAGAACTTGTAACTCATTAATTTTAGCCTTTTAGGTTGGTGCTTTAATTCTACTACCAGTGAGCAGTAGTTAGCTCAGTTAAAAAAATATTCATAGGAAAGTAATAGGATCGGAAAGACAGTGTTATCAATCGTAGCAAAAAAAAAGCAATTTAAGGGCATAGCATAACCAAATTTTACTAAGAGGTACAGATAAAGGCAATAAAATTAATATACTAAGGCCGTGGAAGGTCAGTGTCAAATTAAAAGTGGGTAATATTACTTGTTATATACTTCATGCTGAGAAGCAAAAAATTGGAAAAGCTACTGCCTACTTTTCCTCTATTTAATTTTAGCTATCCCAAATTAGATGTCAAGTTCTCCAGCTGACAGAGGCAGGAACCTCCAGAGGGCAATGCATTGCACCTATCATGGGCATCTGTTTTAGAAGGGCACAGATTATCTCTGGAGGTGGCTGTCATTCTTCATTGATTATTTGAGGAATTCCAGCAATGAGTTCAACCAGGCAGCTAACTTTTAGCTGGCTAATGTAAGATGTGACAAAGGCACTTCAAACTGCTCAAGCTAAAAGACAGTATACTTGTTTTTATCTTTGATTATGTCATTTTAGTAAAGAAATGATTAAGAAGAGTAAGATAAAAGCAAGTTTTGTGGGTTTTGTTTTCAACAGTGATTATGAAATTAGGATTGCAAATAACATAGGCAGTGCACATCATCAAAAGAGGTTTTGAGACCAAGTGAAAAATAGGCTTTGCATAGTTAAGAAAAAAGTTTCAAAGAAAAAAAATAATCAGAATTGTATTTTTGATACAATAAAATTGGCAAGGGATAATATTTTTCAATTTTAGAAAGACCTATGTTGGGTTAGAGAACAGAACAGTTATGTTTCTGTATTTGTGGTTTTAATTAAGCTACTAAAAAGGTTTATGGATTTGATCCAAAGGTCAGCAAAGTCATTGGTACCCTTCATTGATTTGAATGGGCTTTATAGTCTCGTGCTGTAGAGGAAAAATGGGGTTGATCCTGTTCTCATTTTAACTAGTTTCACGTTTCTCTGAAATCAATGGAGCATGACTCCTTCATTTGCCCTTACAGAACCAAGAGCAAAGTTGAGGTCTCAGATTTTCCAAGGGAGATAATTGGGATAAAACCAACCCCTAGCTGGTGGTAGACGTAAATTGACATTCTTACTAGAGTAGCTACTCTTGCTATTTGCTCACTGTGCTAGAATTGATATGGCATGTGTGCATGAAGAGTATAGATCAGGTTTTAAGTCAGCTAAAGACTTTTCCAAAGACTCTAACCAAATTAATTATAAGCAGCAGAAACTCCAAGACACTAGCTTTAGGTGCTCCTAATTCCTAGAGACAGCCTTGACAAAAAGATTCCTCACTTCTGGTCCCAGCACCTGTTTACATTCCTCACCTTAAGAGCCTGGATTCTGATCATCTGAATCAAGAGAAAACACTGAAGAAATCAGTAAAACATATATTCTCGTACCAGACTTACCATGTGATCAGCTAAGCCATGTAGAAGTACAGTAAAATTCCCACAGTGACATTCCCATTACTAGAGGGAACCAAAAAGCTTTCAAGAATAGCCATAATGGTATAATAAAAGAAAATATGAATTGCTGACAAAGCAACGGTCACACATTTTAGTGCTTATCACAGCATCTGATATTTAAGAAGGGAGAAAGAAACTTCATCAACAAACAATTCTAGCAAGCAAATATCTATAAACAATAATAATTCAGTTGCAAAGAGCTTATTAGGATTAGAAGAAAATTAAACACTATTTTCACGACAATAGCTGAAAAAAAGCTACACCTAAAGGAAACATTTCTAGAAAAAAAGACCAAAAAAGCTCATAGATGTCTCATTTTATGAAGATACACCCCAGCAAAAAGACATTAGTTACCTTGATGGACTATAAGGGCTGGCTGCTTTTCTATGACCCTCAAAAAATCATGCTCCAGGTTTAAGTAGAGATCTACAAAAGTCAACAATATCAGTGGTTAGTGTCACAGTCAACAGCTGTAACAGAATGGATGGCAGCTGCACTTCTGGGCACATTAAAGCAATTCTTGAGTCTAGAGAAAGATGCATTCAGAAATTACCCCGGTGACAACTGATTTGTCAGTGGAGCTTCAGAGGTAGGACTATCCCTCCCTTCCTCTTCCCTGTCCCTTTCATCTGAAATATAGTTTTGTTTGCTTCAAAGTTTTTTAAAGTCTAGACTGAGAATTATAACTGCTGTGACACCATGGGACTGATCAGCATAGGGAATTTTCAAAGGTCTATCTGCATCCTTAATTGCCTGACACTTCTAAAAGCCAGTCCATTGTCTAAGATGATGCTGATTGCTCCTTCCAGCATCCAAGATTTTTTAAATATGGCTGGACCATCTTGGTAACTTATGTCAGAAAATTACAAGGAATAGCTGAAAAGTGTTTCACATAGCTACACTCTCTGGAACAAGCTAAAGAAATTCCTCACCAGACAACTGTAGTCTAATCAGCCCTTTAAACACTCAGGTTAAAGGAAAATCAACACAAGAAAACTAGAGCAGGCAATATTTTACAGAGTCACATGGAAAAGATGAGGGGTAGTGGGTACAAGTTACTCTTGGAAAGATTCTAACTGGACGCAAAAGTTTTCACAATGAGAACAATCAGCTATTGGCATAATCTCCCCAGAGAAGTGGTGGATTTCTCAACACTGGATGCCTTCAAGATTCAGATGGAAAAGGTGCTGAGCCACCTTGTCTAGACTGTGCTTTTGCCAAGAAAGGTTGAACCATGACGATCCCTGAGGTCCCTTCCAACCTGGTATTCTATAAACCCATTATATTAATCTCTTGGCCCAACTTTAACAAAAATCCTCAGCTACTCATGAGTTCTTAAAGGAATGAAAGACAAAAAGAAAGAGTGGGAAAGAAGGCTTTCCTCTCTATTTCTCAAGAAGACTGGAATGACATAGCGTTTTAAAGAAAGAAGGAAATGTGATTACCATTCCTTCTCCATCTCTACCTCTGATATATGCTGAAGAGGATAGAAATGAAAAACCATACAGCTCAGAGGACTTTGGAAAATAAATTTTAACACAAGCTTTGCATTACTGCTCCCTGAACAAAGTCATAATCAGTAAGAACCTTTGCTTCTTGCCATGCAAGACCTTTTTTTCTTTCAAGCCTTTCTCTCAAAACCCAGCTCCTCAAAGTCCTACACAACGGTGCTCTCAACACAAAAACCAAAGAACTGTACTTCGGAATCTGCCACCTGATGTTACTAACAGTAAGCCTCCCAACTGGTCTCAGTAAGGAATGAAAGAACATGACAAAATTACTTGTTTCAAGACCCAGGTGTTGGGAGTTGCTTTAACTCCATCGCACATCATCAATGCCACTTGATGGCAGTTGGGTGTCCCAGATGCACTGACTGGGAAGATCTGAATCCTATTTCTAGTGGAAAGGATTCAAAACTCTAAGACTGTGTCAAATTATATGCCTTCAGACTGCACTCAAGCTTGAAGGGGAACCCTGACATGCCTTTTTGTTTACATACAAAAGTCTGACTGACTTATCCCTACAGTTTCTGAGGATGAGAGTTTTGGCCTTCTTGTATAGTTGAAGAGGCCTTCTTGTATAGTTGAATTGTCAGAGTCCTGACATTTTATGCCAGGCTACCTGGATATAAAATGATTCACGCATTCCTGAGTCTGGCTGTTGTCTAATCAGGTTGTCTTCAGGTGGAAGTCACTGTACAAGCCAAACGTATGCAAACCAACTACTTTTCCAACAACGTGGATAAGCTTAACTGAGAATAAACTCTAGGATGTGGATGAAACCTTAGTATGGTTGAGGAGCTTCAGAACTATGGTATTGCCATGTACATACTACCTAAAACTCCACTTGTCACCCTGAGACTGAAGAAAACAAAGACTGACTCAATGTCCTTACAGGTGATACAAGTTTTTACAGAGATACTTGCTGCAAATTTTCTCAATGTATCCCTTCTTCATACTGGTAACTTTTAATAAGTCAGGTGACTGGGAGGTATTCTTACTGATAAAAACTTAAAAGATAACATTATGCATAACAGTATATATTTAAATTTTAGGATCACACAATACAGCTGTAGGTGAACTGCAAACAGAAAAATACATTTTTTAAAAAACAATTCCCTGACACATTTCTGTTCACATTCATGTTGCAAATTAAGGCTGCTGTATTTATGCTGTCATCTGCTGGAATTAGCACTTAAATAAAAAAAATTACAGGTGCTTGATAAGTACTTAGGCTGCATAGAGGAAAATCGGGTATTTTTTGAAAACTGTTCACAATTTTGTTAGAATTCTGAACCCCCTTAACATCAAGTACCACAAGATCATTCTTAATACACTTCAATTTATTATTTTATAGGGAATCAATTTCAATTAAAATCCATTCAAACAGTGACTGGAAAAATTCTATAATATTGATCTTAAGGGGGAACCAGCATAGTTAAAATTATTAATCATACCTGAGAATGTCATAAAACACTGGGCTAGTACCCATGCTTTATGATCATGTCAAATAAAGAGTTTAAAAAAACCCACCCTTTCCTTTGTGGAAGATGCCAGATACTAAGCATACTGCTTAGTAATAAAGAAACAGTTCATAACACTGCTGACTGCCTATGTATAACTAAGTAAATGAAGGTGCTCTATCATATGGAGCATAAAAGCCATTAAGAGTAAACTTTTATTTGAATAGAACCACATTCATTTTTAAAATTGCATTACAGAAAGGCTTTTAAAGAATGTAAATGGAAAAAAATAAGCTTTTAAATAAAACAGGTTCTTTTACACAACTTAGAAAAGCAACTTTAGAAAGGCATAAAAAGGAGTGGGTTTTTCCCCCACCTCCCTTGAATCTTTCCAATAATTATAAATCTTTATTGGCCAGGCCATAAATGCTAGTAACAACAGGAAGAAAAATGCTTTTGAACTATTTGGCAACATTCACATTCAGGGATTCAAAATGGCAAAACTTTATTTTGCATTTTCTAAAAGGCTTTATGTGACTTTCGTATTTGTTAAAAGTGCCAGTAGGGTGAAACACTTATAAAATCAGAAAGATGGTGTTACCAAAACTCATCTGAGTGAAGAGGGCAATTCATCCAGCTTTCAGACCAACTTTTTTTCAACATAGGAGTTCACATCTAGGCATGTAGGAATTGATCTCACCTAAGTTCAGTCATCTACCATGTAGACAAATACATGTGGCAGCCATTCTGAGCTTCTGTAATAATGGAGAGGAACAGGCATAACTCATCTGATGTCTGAGGTGTATCTGGTGTATCTGAAATACAGAGGACGTGTAGCTGCTACTGCGTGCACACGATAGTAGGATTGCTTAGAGTCTCTGTGGAAGGCAGAAGATACCTAACTGAAGGCATACCAAGTTAGGCTTTGGTGCTCCCAGCACCACTGAGGCTGCCAGTGACTGTGTTCTAGTTTGTTAAAAAACTTGTTGTTAAACAACTTGTTTCATGACAGAATAAGACAGATACACAATGCATACTAAAAGAATTAGGCAGGGAAGTATTCTTCTTAATGCAGCAATTCTGGATGCTGGGGAGCCAAGGGGATGGAACCCCAGAGAGGGGCCAGGCTTCTGGGCTCTGCCTAAACAGCATCTGCTACTGTCAGAGGCAGAGTACTGGAACAGAGGGATACTGGATCTGACTGAGAATGGCATTTCTTACCTTCTTATTTCCAATGCTATTCACTCAGTTTGATCATAAAGGTGTTAGTTGATGAAGACAGTCAGGTTCTGAACCAGGAGCCCAGCAGTGAAAAATTCTACATACTTTCTCAGGACTCAGAAGTATAGTTAGGGCTCCAATTTCTTCAATTCTTTTATAAAGCAACTATCAATCCTGATTTTGTTCTGTGTCTGATTTCTGGAAAAATCTCATTAGAAATGACAAATATGTTACATTGTAAATGGCACCAACTTACAATATGTAGACTTGATTTATTTAAACTTTGAATGAAAGACTGTACCTATTCCTGGAATCCTTTTTACCAGCCTGCTCTTTTTGGCTGAGTGAAAACAAGTGATTTCTACTGGCACTGATCACAAACAGCTGTTGTTAAATCACAGGCTCTGACTGCTCAAAACTTTTCTATTTAGTTGAAAGTCTTCCATGACTGGCTGCAGCACAAACAGCAATATTTTAATTTTTTTTCTTAAATCTTGATCAAAATTGTTTTTTCTCTTTCCAATTTACACATAAGTGGGGAAATACATACATATGTATGTGTGTGTGTATATACATAATATCTATTCATCAAACATGTAAGACAGTTTTGCATATGCATTAGCTCAGAAGGACTAAACTTTCCAGACCAAATTTTCCAGTAGACTGTCTTCTGAGAAATTTGAAAAGCAGGAATGAAAAAAAATCAACATTAATAAAATAATAAGAAAACCAGACAACTGCAATCATGTCCTTGCAGTCATACAAAACAGCTAATACTACATTCCCAGTAGACTGAGTTGCAATATTATTTATAAAAACACATAAAAATGCAAGCACATCATCATATGATACAGCTAAAATCTTGCCATAGAAGTTCATCACTACAAATTTCATAGTTGCATACGTGTTTCCTTATTCATATTCCAAACTAATATACTACGCATATTGAAGGACAATTCTGTGCTAAGCCTATCCTGAGTGCATTACAATGTATTGTCCAGTGTATTGGAACTTATTTTACCTGTCAGTTGAATCACTCGGTTATTTGATATGAATATGTATTAGCATCACAGCAATAGCTAAAAGGTAACTAACAGAACCACAGTAATTCAATGGTCTACCAGGGACCGTTGATTGCACTGCAAAGTGTATTCTTCAGGTTAGAAACCAGCCACGTGAAATTCAAATAACTGATGCTGTAGATGGAATTTGATATTTACCGTCACTGATGCATGTATTTTAA